TACCTGAACAAATTTGCACTTCTCGAGATCACATTTTTAATTACTCTCCTGGTGTTTGCTGTTCGCTATTTACATAATTTCATTTCGTTTTCACACCTTCAGCTTTGCCTGGGCCCTGACCTTGTGTTTGCTTATCAATGCCCGGATTGCCGGATTGCTGGAGGCCGGAGGGCGGATTGCAGGGGGCACAATGGTGCACTCAGCCCACCCATCCACTTCGACCCAGCCAAGGTTCCGTTGCGCCCCAATGCCTTTCCTTAATGGTAGCCCCACCCACTCCTTTACCGCCTTGGCACTACCATTGAAATTCCCGGCAAAACAAAGTGGCTAAGCCAGTAAGGCGGGCATGGAGGCGTGGCTGTGCCCAACCAGCCATGTTCTCGGCAAGCAGGCCAATTGTTATTTGCCTCACCAAGAGACGGTCAACAGCAACAGCTGCTTATTATGGACTTGGAATGGCCACGATAGAGAAAAAATAATAAATGGTATTTCTTGCTAATAGTATTTAGTGGCTTGCACTTGATTTGTGGTCAGTACTTTACAAATTGCTAATAAAGAAAACGTGGCATACCTGCCGAGCTCGTGGCAAGGATAAGCAATTACCAAGACGCATTGAGAGAACCGAATTGAAACCCAACTCATCAGGTCCGACTTGTTTGCCATTCAATTAAGGGGGGTATTGTCTTAGCTCGAGTCCAAGAACTGCTATGACTCTGGCCAAAACTATTTGAACATGGCCAAAAGTTATACAACAAATTGCAGGTATTCAGATGGGTTGGCCAACAGGTCGGAGTCTGTCAGCAAACACGTTTTCAATTTGGCCCCAAATATGCATCACTTTCTGTGTTATCTGTGTCGGGTCGGAAAATGGTCCAAATTGTGTCAACTTCTGGGGAGAGAGTGTGTGGCAGGAACTCATGCGTAACTGCATTGATAAGTTGGCCAGTGTTGTGTGGCTAAAGTTTGGTCAATGCTCTCGGAGAGCCATCACATTGAAACTAATTATGCGTTAATAGTTTAAACACCAGGTCAACTGGGTTAACGTGGATTGAAAGCGCCGTCGTTTTGGGATGGAATTTAAGCCGCATTCGACTCGCCGCAGACAGAAAAGTAATCTCAGCTAATATTAGCACACAGCTCCCATATCACCCGAATCAAATTTTTGCATTGTCTGCGGGCTTAGTTCTGGGGAATTAAGCGGAATACATGGCGTATACTTGATGTGCGAATTCCGGGCGACGGAGCTGAATTAACGAGGCTCTCCTAGCGAGTTCCTTGGAAACAGGTGTTTGGGGGGTAAACCGAACAATGACTGGATGACTTTTGAGAAACTCGGCAGGCGGCAGGACGAAGGTGGCGGCTTAAAGCCACTTGTGCGTCTGCGGAATGTGTGGGCCTTTGAGTAATAATGGCATTGTCGCGCCACGTTCTGTCTAATTACATCGGCATATCTGATTTATTCCGCCCGAAACTTTCTCGAGAAGCAAAAAAGCAAATACCAACAGCGTGGGCTCGGCAAACGGAAAGGAAAGTTTGGTGGGGAAACTCGTAGGGAAGTCAGACTGACTGACATCCTGGCGCAAATATTTACAGATTGTAACAGTATTTATGTTTGTATTGGCCCAGCTCAAGGCCCCTCCAGCCTCTGTGCTTATCCCTCCCGGTCTGTGCCGCAATCATGGCTAGAGACTCGCGCCAATGTGTGGTTAAGTGGCAGCAACATCAAGCCATCGTGACAAACGGCTGCAGTCCCTCCAGCAGGGGTTGTGGCAGAGGTCGCGGAATCCTCAGCCTTCATCCGACGAAAGTGTGGATTAAGGAACCACCTAATGTGACTGCTAGCACAGGCAAAAAAAAAACAAGGTTTTAAAAAAGAGAAAGTTTTTAAAGAAACTATTATTCAAATAGAATGAAAAGTTCTCAAAACTTATATTTTTTAATACAGTTTAAAATTTCTTTAATCATAAAAAAGTTGAAGATTTTTTTTCAAATGTACGTCCTTGTCTGGTATCCTTGCATCCTTCTTGATGCATCCTGCAGACGCTCAAAGTCACTAGCGTTAATGGAATCGACATCGTCGCCTTTCAACACAATTCTCATCGTCTCTTGATTTTGTCTAGATTTTGCTAAGAGTTTCTTCTGATTTAAATTCTAAGCTTCAACACAGCTTTAAGCTTCAACACACCATGTTCTTCGTAAGCATCCTTTCGCTTGGCTGCCGAAACCACTTATCTTAAATTTGATCATCTCAACCCCAAACCCCGGCAGCCAGCAACAACTCCAGCTGTCCATCTTCACACAGGACATCGCACCGGGAGCTTGAATCCCCAGGACCCTTCCACAACCCAGTCAGTCACATTCACTTTTTGCTTTCTGTATTATTGTTATTTAGGTAACCATTTAGAAAACAATTTAAAATAATGCTCATGAAAAGAGAAAAACAAACAGAATCGGGCAACGTGGCAGCGGCAGCGCAACTTTATTCGTTTGCTGACGTGTAACGAGGAGTATGCAAATAAAAAAGCGTAACACAAACAGCCGAGCAGGAAACAGAAAAGGACGAATCGAAAGTAAACAGGATAGCAAAACAGCAATCAATAATCAATATGAAGTAAATATTGTTTTGAGGAGCTGTAAATAGCAACACCCGGGGCACTGGCTTAAATCAGAGCCATGGATGTGGCATCTTTAAGAACGCTCCCCCCCGACAGCAGCATGAATTTCATTTTCAGAGCAATCGCTGGCTATTTTCCGCCGCACAAAGGAAATCGAAGGATGCTTCGGAATGACTGGTGTTGGCTGCTGCGATTTGTGCCACTGAGCTTCTGCAGTATGGGCGTGACATAACTGGTTTATCAGTGGAAGCTGCCACTCCGGAGCTAGGGGCCTTAGCCACGGACAGACTGCCAGTCAGAGTCCTGTTCCCCTTGAAATGCGGAAATCAGTTTGATTTCAATTTCTCGTCCACCTTTCGCTTTCTGCCTTTTCCCCACGTGCTGGCCTTATTTACGCTTTCATTGTTGTTATCCTGCCCAGTGGAGTGTGTCGAAAATGAAAATGTTGTTCAGGTCTCCCATTAGTCTGCTTTTCATGCGAAAAATTAAGTTCTTCCAGAGCACTCGGAAAAAAGTCGTGGAAGTACTATAAATAGTGGAATAAAGTCCATGTCGAACTGGAACTTGAAAGTTTTTTTTTCAAGTGTCTGACCACACAATCCTACTTATCTCTCCCTTCGACATGTTACGTATTAATCCGTCAGGCAGCGTCTGAGCCATCCACATAAATGGCATTGGCATATTATTCCTGGCTATTGTTTGCAAAAATTATAGCATACATCTGCGGGCAACCGGCAGCTGTCATTCATTAATCATTCGCTTGTCACCTCGCCGCATGAGGCGTGCGGCATGAGGCATGAGGCAAGAGGCAGCAGCAATCATCGAGCCATATACTCGTGATATACATATTCGCAATTAATACTCAAATTATTTCCGCTGTGATGCAACAAAGCCACTCCGTATCGAATAAATGATGGCGATCGTTACGAGGAGTCTGGCGCTGCAGCGTTCATCAAGCGGCAATTAATTTATATAATCGAATTATGGCCCGACACGATTTTAATTAATATTTCTTGGCCATTTGTATTCTGCCACATTAATAGAAATAACAATTACATCAGTCAAATGGGCTGTTCATCAATCAATTAATTCGGAACTCGGTTGGGAGTGGTTGGGCAATTTCCGGGACCTACAGATCCCTCTTGAAAACTTAATTTGCCGAATAACTTAACCCTTTTCTTTAGTGGGCCCTTGCAAAAAATAAAATAAAGAACACGAACATTTGCAAATCAAATTGGTAAGCTCGACTAGCCACATCTCCGGCCGGGCTGCCATCTATGCATATTTAAGCAGTTTGCTGGCTGCTGGCTTTGCGGTTTCTGCGCCTCGTGGAACGTGTTAATTGCAGCCACATGCCCTGTCAACCCCCGATCCCCAACCTATGACCCCTCCCATCCCATTTTGTCAGTCGCTGCCAGCTGCAGCTGCCTAACAAATGCAATTAAAATCTTGGGGCAAAAGAAATTGTTGCAAAGCGAAACGACAGAACAGCTTGAGGTGCAGTGGGGGGCTGTGACAGATAACATATTGCCCACGCGCGGTTCACGTCCAAGAGGAATGTATATGGCCAGAACAAACTAAAGAGATTTCTCAAAAAAATACTGAAATAAATGCCATTTATCTGCGTTCCTAGGGAGCTCCAGCCACGCTCCGGCTCCATACAAATCTAATTTAGACCGCACGAAGGCAAACCTCTGCCATGGATATATTTTATATTCCGCACTAATGCGGTTTGTCGGTCAGATCTGGTTCCTAGATTCACCAGACATTCTTTTATGATGAGCTTTAGCTTTTGGCTAATTCGGTTTATTTATCTTTTGGACAGGACAGGATAGTTCCAAAGACTATTATAGTTTTTACAAAATGGTGTTTGTGTCTATAGAACCAGCTATAACATCTATAGAAAGTACCTATTTTTTATAATTTATAAGGCTTAATGGGTTAAATAAATAACTTCTATTTAGGGCATCTTTACAATTAAAACATTTTTTTGAAACTCATAAAAAGACGCACGAAGGCCAGCCCTATTTGCTCATTAAGTGCACATCCCCCGGCACTTCCTTTGCTAATTAAGTTGCAAGGCAGCTGCCTCATCAGGCGCTGGGAAGGAGCTCACGATTCCAGGCACGATGTGCAACGAATGTATCTGCCGGCTCTTTGCTAATCGGCTTAGGGCCGCTCCTCTTAGCCACAACGATGCAACGCCAGCGTGTGGCAACAAAGTGTGAGGCAACATCCTGCATCATGCAATATTTAATCACGTTAGTCGATGGGGTAACGGCCGTATACGCAACGACTTACAACTCGCATTAATTATAAATATAGTCCCGCACTGTCCCGTTGAACAATAGCACTGTAGCCACCTACCCCTCTCTACACTTGCAGGAGCTCCTTGGAAATTAATTATTAATGCATCTGCCGGGAACACTTTCTGCCGCTGGCCTTGGCAGCCGATGCGAGTGCTCGGAGTGACAGCCTGAAATCGTCTATTGTGATTACCGCAGCAGCAACAGCAACAACTGCAACAGCTGCAGTAGCAACAATGGCCAGTGGCAACAATGAAACTGCGCCGCTCTACTGCGGCAGCGGCATGGACAATTTCCACACAAGGTGAGTTTACGACCTGCCAATTAGAGATGATCAGGTGATGATGGTTCTTTACCTATATATTTGTACTATATTTACATTTAATTTATTAAAATACCATGGGGCTTAAACCTTGAAGAACTCTTATTATTTTAAAGAAATTAAAATATTGAAGACTAATACTCTGACTGTCATGTAGCTTTCTTAAATATTTCAAACTCAAAATACTGTGTCTCTCGCTTTTGGATAATAATAGGGACATATAGGGACCATAATAGTTTGAAATAAACAGAACCATATATCATAAAGTTAAATCATAAATAAAGCTGACAAAAAAGTTCAAAATACACATATTTGATTTGCATATTCGAATGCTTTCCGATCATCACTACTCACAGTAAGCAATTTCAATGCCAAAGTCAATGCCAGGGGAGAGTGCGCCTCAAGGGCAGACAACTCGACAACACAACAACACTGAAATCGCAGCAATAACAGGCCAAAACAACAACACCATTAGCCCGCTGCGGTGACAACAATATGGGAATCGTTCAGAAATCGATTATCGCCTTGCCACCCAGCCTTGCCACTTGCCCCGACCCGGTACCCAGTACCCCGTAGCCGGGACGGGAGCTTCAATTTTGATTTGCCGTACAATTTTGTCGGACGATTAACCGACAAAAAAAAAAAAAAAAAGGAAACGAAACAGGAAAATAGCCATGTAGAAGAAAACAGATTTGTCAACAACCAAGGTCAGCAATTGATGGCTAAAATCAATTTAATTGACCATTTCTTTGGGCAATCCAAGTGTCCATCTGCTGCACCCATAAAACCGACTAGGGGAAGCCAGTATTTATTTATATTCTCCGCATGCCACAAGCTCGTAAACGTAAAAGTGATGATTAAAGAAGGCCCTAAAAAGTTTATTCGGGTATGGATTTAATTTAATTTAATGCCTAAACTGTTACAAATCAATAAATTGCAAAGATACGTCCAATAAATGGTTGAAACAATGGGATCATAAAAACACTTGCCACTCGAATATTTCCAAAGAATAATATTATGATTTCAGCAATATTATATAAGGCCGCTGGTTTAATAACCCTCCTTACTCAATTTCCCAATAATTCATCAGAGAACCATTATTTTCCATGATTAAGTTCTGCTTCGTGGAAAATAGAAAATTATTCATACTTCGGTCACCAAACCCCCACCTGGAGGTCGCCAGGATATCGCCCAGACCACCTTGGCCTGGCTCTGGCCAAGGCACTGGCTTTAGTTTTAATTAGAGCCAGTCCTCCCAGAGTTAATGGCCACAAAGTGGCTCGCCACAGCATCTCGGATGAATACTGGGCGGCGTGGGTTTAATTAAAGGTAGCGCCACGCGGAGATGGAGTTTGAAAGATGGCTGTATGGCAATTAGATGTGTATCCAACACTTGGCCATTTACTTTTGTGTCAAAGACGTGCCAAATTGCTGGCGACGGCGACACTTGACGCTGTCACGCCCCAGACAGACACACCACCAGCCTACCGCCCACCGCCTACCGCCCACTCAAGCGGCAAACAACAAGAGACGAATTGCGAAAAAAATAGAATCCCAACGCCAATGTGTCACACAGTAGTCCCACATCGAACTTCCCACTTTTTGGCTGGCTGGCAGTGTGTCAGTGAAGAAACTGCAACCCTTCCTGTGGCGGCTACGTGACGTATACGCAATATAAATGGCAAGTCGATGTGAAAAGGGCCCCAAAAGTTGGCAAAAAAAATTGGGAAAAAACCGCAACAAAACACGCACAAAACACGCACAAAACAAGCAATTAACATAAATAATAAAGTACGGATGGCGAGCCTTTTGTCAAAGGCGGTTCTCCCCAAAAAAAAAAAAAAAAGAGGAGAAACCAGCGCAACCGGCGAAACCGAAAACCAAAAAATGTGGAAAATTGCTTCTGCAAAATATATTTAATTTTCCAAATGCGTTGTCGCTTACGCTTTCACTTTCGCTCGTTGCGGTGGCCGTGTGTATTCCCCGAACAATAAAACAAATACATTTCGGGGAGCACACATGGCGTCTGACTTGGCATGTTAAAGGCTTCTTCTCATTCTGACGGACAGGTGGCTGGCTGCCTGGCTGCTTGGCTGGCTGGCTGAAAGCACCAGAAAACGGAATCGGGATGAGGTATGTCTACGTGTTCGGAGAACGGCTGAATGGCAACACTTTCTTGGAGGGACGCGCACCCTCGTCTCGGCAAACTCCTGGGGAATTTACAACTCCATTCATCAAATTCGCAAAAACTTTGTCGCAGGGCCCTGCAACCTACACCCTACACCCACACACCTACACTCCCGGGGCAGGATTTCCACCTCGGTCAAATCCAGGCTCCCACACCCCCCGCCGGAATGCTCTGCAGAGTCTAATTTATGGCCTTTGATAATCCATGTTGATGAATGGCAGCCACGACAACGACATCGACGACAACATGAATGAAGTCCTGGAATTGTTTTGCCCAAGTTGAAGGTGGGCAAGGTGGCCCACCAGAGTTACTGGCCCAGAAATCAGGCCCAGAGTCAGCCTTGGGTCGTTCAGATAAAAAGGGAACTACATTTTAATTGAAAATTCCCTTTGGGAGACAGACCTAGAGAATTATAAGTTCCAGCATAGTTTAAATTTTTATCAAACATCTATTATTTAAAATAAAAGCCCCAAATGCATAGGATTTGTGTTATTTTACAATGTACATGCAGTGCCAGAGACCTCCTGCAGAGCCAGGAAAGTCTTCTGGCAACAAATTTGGCTTAGATTCCTCTATAAAACTGTCATTCGAGCCGAATCCCCCTATTCGGTTGTCCGTGGCATTAGAAGTGAGTGGAGCATTCGGCACAGAAGCAATAAACAATTTAACTAAAGTCCTGACACCAGCAGGAGCGCCAGGGCACACACGTGTCACTCACGCTTTCCGAGCAGAGTGGAGCAGTCTGGTTGCCACTGGAGGATGCATGGCGAAAGTTTATTAAAAAATTTCTCTGCCAGTCAACCCCAAAACGAAATGAACTCCCAGGCAGCATAGAAGTTGGGATTGTGGATCGGAAAAAAGGATGCTGGAAAAGACACAATCCAAGGACTAATTAATATTGAAGTCTCAAGAATGAAAATGTAGGTTTTTAAAAAAGAGTTTCCTTCCCCTAGAGGCATTAAAGTGACGTGTTTATGTGCTTTCGCCTTTGCTCTACACAGTTCTGTATAAATTTCATGGAAATCCTAACTGGTTTGTTGCAACATTCTGCAGCAGCTGCAAGTGCGGCTGGCAGGAAAGAATTCCTCCAGAAAAAGCCACTGTGGCTGGGGACGAAAACTGGCTAAGTCGGCTGGCCAGAAATTTGAATTCTATTCCTCCAGGGCTTCCCACCGCCTCTGTACTTTTTTCTTTTTGTGTTTTCGGCCTCAAAGCTCACGACGAAAACTAAACAAAAGTCGGTAAAATGTTTATCCTATAATGGGCGGACGGGGCGTGGCTAGGAAGGGCCTAAGGCTTTGCTGGGTTTATTGCCTCGACTGCTGAGAGGGCGGCTGCTGTTTGCCAAGTCAACGGAAATGGCTTTTGGATGGCTTTACTGCCGGTTTCAAAGAGCAGACGCCAGTGCAGAAGTAACAAATTGGTTAAGGCTAACTAGGGCATAATAACTGAAACATAATTTCGGCACAGCCACCCACTCACCCACATGATTTCGATTTTTGTCTGTCTTCTACTCCATACTTGTGTTTCCCATAATTAAGTGCCTTGTTACGTGAAGGGCTGGAATGTAATTGAAGTGCCCCATCCTTTCTACAGTTTAAGGAAAAACTAATCAAGTCCTTCTTCACTTTCCAGCTACAAAAACATGCACGGCTACGTCTCCCTGGTGGTGTGCATCCTCGGAACCATTGCCAACACCCTGAACATCATAGTCCTGACCCGACGGGAGATGCGCTCCCCCACCAATGCCATCCTCACGGGCCTGGCGGTGGCTGACCTGGCGGTTATGTTGGAGTACATACCCTACACCATACACGACTACATCCTCACCGACAGCCTGCCGCGGGAGGAAAAGCTCAGCTACAGCTGGGCCTGCTTCATCAAGTTCCACTCGATCTTCGCCCAGGTCCTCCACACCATATCCATCTGGCTGACAGTGACCCTGGCCGTGTGGCGCTACATAGCCGTGGGCTATCCCCAGAAGAACCGGGTTTGGTGCGGCATGCGAACCACCATCATAACGATTACCACGGCGTATGTGGTGTGTGTGCTGGTGGTGTCCCCCTCGCTGTACCTGATCACCGCGATCGCTGAGTTCATGGACCAGCTGGATGCCCAGGGCAAGGTGATAGGCTCGATTCCGATGACCCAGTATGTGATTGACTACCGAAATGAGCTCCTCCAAGGCGTCAAGGCGGCTGACCCGAATACTTCGATGACCGAGACGGCTGCGAACGAGACCATGTGGCTGAATGTTAGTGCCCTGATAACATCGACCACCACAACGGCTGCTCCGCCCACTCCCTCGCCGGTGGTGCAAAACGTGACGGTCTATAGGTTGTACCACAGCGACCTGGCGCTGCACAACACCTCCCTGCAAAACGCCACCTTCCTGATATACAGCGTGGTGATTAAACTAATTCCCTGCATCGCCCTGACCATCCTCTCGGTACGACTGATCCTGGCCTTGCTGGAGGCCAAGCGGCGGCGTAAGATGCTTACCAGCAAGCCGACAGCAGCTGCCACGGCGGCCAGCAACGGGACCAAATCCACGAACGGCAAGGCAGCCGATCGCCCCAGGAAGAACAGCAAGACCCTGGAGAAGGAGAAGCAGACGGATCGCACCACCAGGATGCTACTGGCAGTGCTGTTGCTCTTTCTCATAACGGAGTTTCCGCAGGGCATCATGGGTCTCCTCAACGCCCTGCTGGGAGAAGCTTTCTATTTTCAGTGCTACCTAAGACTGAGTAAGTATCCCCCAATAGCTGTTTCATAGTGTTTCTGTTTAATTAAATATTGAAACATGGTCCACCTGCTCTGTTTCCCACTAGGCGACCTTATGGACATCTTGGCCCTGATTAACTCCAGCATCAACTTCATACTCTACTGCTCCATGAGCAAGCAGTTCCGCACCACATTCGCGCTGCTCTTTCGACCCAAGTTCTTGGACAAGTGGCTTCCTGTGGCTCAGGACGAAGTGGCGGCCGCCCGGGCGGAGCGCTCTGCTGTGGCACCCGCCCTCGCAAAGGGCCAGCAGAGGCCACAGCTGGTGGTGGCTACCACAACCACCAATATCACACAGGTGACGAACCTGTAGCACAGGAATCGTCGAGGCAACAGCCGCAGCTTGCTCAGCCGGCTGCTCAGCGTCCTGAAGCTGCGGCGTGTGGAAGCCCGCGGTCCTGTGGCCGATGGCGGAGAAGCGCTGGATCCGTCACTGCACTTTCAGGCGATTGTTGTGGTTGTGGACAAGGCGAGTGGGGCGACGGAGAACCAGCTTTTCGCTGCAGAACAAGCTCCGAATGTAACGTAATTTATACAAATTCGAAGATGTTTCCTTGTAGAGATAAATGCTAGTTTAAGGATTTGGGCATCGAGTTTGTTGCATTCTTATGACCCGGCCAGGAAGAGATTCCTCTCGAGAGGGCAAGCCATAAAAATGTTATTGAAAAGTTCAGCTCTTCCACAAAAATCGAATCAAAAACGTTTAGGCTGCTAGGCTTTGGAAATTTAAACAATTTTCTTGTTGATTTCATTCGGCTACGACTCTGTATGCAGTTTGTAATATGCATGCTGGCTCGGAATCCAACTAACAACACTCCAAACTACGAATTTTTGGCAACGATTTAAGCAGAATATTTGAAAAATAATGTACATACACATAGGCTAAATAATTTAATAAAAAGTACGCAAGGAATGCCTGGCGAATAATTTATAAACTTTAGTTGAGGAATCTTAAAGGCAACCTTTAAATAATTCAGTTGCTGTGCACTGAGATAGTTGAATAAAGATAATGGAAATTCTTTGGTAATTGGAATTGTATTTGGGCTGTGAAAGATACTTAATATTGCTTGCCTTGGTTTCACAACACCCTATTCTGGGTTTCACATTCATATAATATGATTTAGCCCCTTCCTAGGTCATTGCAGCTCTGATATATCTCATTTGGGAAAAATTGAAAATAAAGTTGCGACCAAGAGCAGCTGCACGAAAGTGACAAATGGCCAACAAACGCATAAATTATGACGATTGAAGTATTTGCAATTGAGCCCCGACAAATACATTCAATCTCGTTAATAATGAACAAATAAATCAACCGCGAAAGCACGTACACGTTTAAAAATAAGCAACAGCCCGGCCCCTCTTGTCCTGTTGTGTGAAACTATATGTAATTATTTGCCGGTTACAGCTTATTTTCAGTGCTGATTAATTAGCTGTAAATTATACTCAAATAACGATAGATTTAATTAAACTATAATGTTGCCACTCTGCTTGCTGAAAGTAAGCATAAATAATAGATTTATAGTTGTTTGTTGTAATAATCATACGCGTGGGCAAGTGTGACTACTCAATTACCAAGTTAAGTTTTTATAAATAAAAAATCGTTTCAAATGCTAAAGCTAAATATTACCTAGACCTAAGTTAAATTAAATCAATAAAACAAAAACCTATGAGAAGCCAGAAGAAGTTCTTTCATTACATGCTGGGAACGAGCTGGAAACATTATTTAAAAACAATTTATGCAAGTTTTTCAATTATTTTTAATTTAGCCAATGACTACGCTGGTGCCCCAACCAGGCAGCCAATCAAATGGCCGAAAAAAACCTCCAACAAAGTTTAATTTGCATTAGCCAGAAAATACAGTGAACCGCAGGGAAAAGTTCAAAGTGCTAGTCGGTGGCAAAAAAGCTAAAACAATAAGCATGAGAAATGGGCCACAAAAGTTTATGACCCATAGAGAGGAGAAAAGGAGGTAAGAGTGGAAAGTTACAATCGAAGTAAGATGAAAAATGCTGGTTGGCTGGCTGGCTGCCTGGATGGCTGGAGAACTTTTCTGTAGTTCCGAGCAGAAATAAAAGATTACTTCAGATTTTAGTGGCGCTGATAAGCCAAGGAAATGGTTGTCTGAAAGACAAGTTAGTTGTGGCCAAGACCGCAGACTTGTAACATTTTTATCTGGCTTCTACTTAGGGCTTTAACTTTTACAGCCTTTCAGAAAATATTTTAAAGGGGTTTGCTTGTGCTAATCATCCTTTGCCCCAAGCTCGTCTTGGCTATTTAATTATTTGGCTATTCAAAGGCTTCCCTTTTAATCTGATAATTAACTCAATTAATGCTCACCTTGGCATTACCTTAAGCTAATTTCCCCCACACTCAATACTTTTGAAATTTTCGTGATTAATGCCTAATTTCCAGAGCAACAATTGGCTTCGCCTTATGGCCAAAATCGTTGGACCCCGTTTATTGTTCTGCGCTCAATTAAATATGAATACCCCCTCGGCCTTTGGACGACCATAAAATGCAGCAGCTCGGGACCAGCTTGCGGCACTCATAAACACATTTTATCGAAGGCATTAACCCAGCATAACAAAAAAATGGCCAAAACTTTGGCCATTATTAGAACGTGTTGCGACTACGAAGGGGGCTTTTGGTGTAAGCCTAGAATAGACCTGCAACCCAGAATGCAGAGAGAGAATTAAAGCAGAGGAGATATTCTATTCTTTTTATTAAAATATTCTATGGTTAGACTTGAATTATGAGTCCCTTCCTAGTCTTCACCTGTTGAGTATTCGCCCCGTGGGCCTGGTGACTTTCACCGCTGTCACCACCTACTAGTGGCACTACTTCAAACTTTTCATATGAAATTGATTGAAAAACTTTTGCAGAGCCAGCTCCTCTTCAAAGGGTTTGGGTCCTTCGAGTTCCAGCTGGGCTCTGGGCTGTGGGTGGCAAAGGGAAATTCTTCAGAGCAACCAAACGCACCGTCATGGCAACCTGGCTCTCCGATTTCGGTGCTGGCGTGTGCATTCTGCATTGCACGTGCCTGAGAGGAGACCTTAAATGCTACCCATACGGAGGGAATGCGGACTAGAACCGCCCCTTTGCAGCGCGCCCATTTGCATAATGGATTTGACTTCAATTAGCTGGCAGCTGTTACTGCCTGTTCTGCCACTGACAGGACTTGCAACGGATCCAGCCTCTTCCCGCGCCCTTCTTCCGAGTTTAGGAGTGCAACTGAAACAGCTCTTTTCGAGCTGAGCGACCACAAGTGGATTAGTCAGATCCCCAGCCACAGTTACAAACTGAAGCCTTTACGACAAGGAATTACTTACTGCTCCTGTGAACAAATACATCACACAGACTAAAGATCCTGTTTCCCAGCCCTTTTCCTAATTTGGGAAGCACTGCTGGCATAGAGCCATGAACTTGATTTGGCAAAGCCAGAAAAGCCCAAGGGCCTGACAACTGCAACTGCAACAGTGCAACACTGCTGTATCCTCCGCAGAGTCAAGAGCACCCCCTCATGAGAGGTCCTCTGCGTTAATACCCAGAATCGTTTTCCTAATTGGTCGGCGCTTTAAAATACTCCACACTGGCTGGGTCCCCCCACCACTTAACCCACAGCGCCAAGGGATTGTGTATAATTTTAGCAGGCAGTGTGCCCTCAAAGCTTCAGTTGCAGTCGCTGCTCCTGTGCATCTAATGAGGCTCATTAACGTAATTACGTGATGTTGGCAATAACTGGGGAAAATCCTTTCCTCTTGATTACCCCTGTGATGGGTGACTACCCTCCTGGCACATGTAAGGATAATCCGCGAGCATCCAAGTGATTAATCATTTAAAATATTTTAAGTTCTATTAGATCTATTGAGCTCCACAGCTTCGTCTGCGGTTTTCCGCACCCACCTTTAATAAGGGAAAATCAACCGAAAACAGTTCCCGAAATACACTTTGCAATAAATTATGTATCAAGGCCAAAGCCAATAGCACTTATCAGACTTGCACATTATTCCCAAACACGTGTGGAAGCCGATTAACTACAAAAGCCACAGCAATTAATCTAATGGCAGACGTAGGACTACTAGGCTCTAATGCACAGCTGAATAATTCAGGTAGAAACCCGCTTAGTGTTCTAGTCCAACGGTCACTTCTCAGAAATTCCTAGAAATTGAAAATTACAAGCTTTGGGATATTCAATCTTTGTCAAATTTCTGCATCAGGCACGACGTCTGTCCCCCAAACAAAGTATGGCTGAAACTCGGCTTACATATAATTGCTTTTTCCACCAGCAGCCACAATTTTTCACGAAAATGTCTTGGGGTTTTCTGAGTTTTCTCAGCTGAGTTTTCCATGTAACTGTCAATTGTCAGACCCTGTAGTTGGTGGATTTTGCTTTTGGGCCATCAGACTTGTGTCTAGTCTCTGCCGCCACACTCGAACGCCTTGGAATGCATTAGTTGAGTATCTGGAAAGCTTGGGGATTTCATTTTGACCTCCATTTATTTTACTTTATCCTAAATACAGCATATTCTGTGTCCAAATTTAAACTTCTTTCCCTCCACAGTGCTGCTTTAAAAGTCAGCTAATTCGTAAAGCTCACCTAAATGCCATTTCATTACCTTTGTATGTCCCGATGGAGGAACAAAATGAAACACGAGCCAAAAAAAGTGCTTTGCCGGTTCGAAATTTACGGGGCCGTTGCCCGAATGGCTGCCCGAACTAGGAAAAAATGTTTGATGTAAATAATTAACAAGCCATGACAGAACTCGAGGGGATCCATGGACGCCACATCCTCGAAAGCTTAATGCTCCTGCTTTATGGACCGTGAGAGGCAAAAAAAGGCTGGCCTTAACGTTTGTAATTGACTTAAATTGCCACAAATAAAATGGCAAAGAATTCTTTGCCTTTTCTGTATATTTTTTTCGGTTTTTTCGTACCCCAACTCCGGAAGTTGGGGCACATAAATTAGTCAGGCTCCCTCCCACCTCCAGGAACTGCCGAAAAATAATTATGGCAAACACTTAGCACCAGCCCCGCACTATGGAGGTTCATTTTGAATAACAAATTATTTAGCTAAAAGTTTTGCAGAAAGCTAGCTATTAATTATGAATTAATACAATTTTCCAAATTACTTGACATTTAGGATTTGCGGATGAAAATTTTATTAAGGGAATTATTTCGTGGGCACGATGAATTTTTAATGACAGGACACTAAGATTCAAAATGCCAGAGGTATCACTTGAACTTCATCAGTTTTAACGCGTTGGCAAGGATATGGCATCCATAGCAGTTGCCATACCAATTCTCCAACTTTCACTTGGCTTGGCACATCAAAGCAATTGCCATAAACCACATTTAAAATAATTGCTAGAGTCCCAACCCTTTGAACACGAATCAGAAACGTAAGCCGATAGATTCCCATATTTGCTTAGTTGGTTTAATTTGCCATGTTATTTGATAGTCACAAAAAGGACATTGTTACCAATGTTTGGCTCCTAAAAATACACAAAGCCGCAAGTCGCAAACAAGGAAGTTATGATCCGAAACCTATATACCCTGGCACATGTGCCTAATCGGATTACTAAAGACCGCTTTTCAAAGAAACTGTAACACCCTCTAATAGAGTATACGAAATAGAGAAAAACAACTGAAAGACAATCTATCTCTCGAGCAAGTTTTCATCAAAAATATTAAATTAAAGTGACAAAGCAACAGACGATTGTGTTATACATTCTTTGGATTTTTGGCTATTTTCGAAGGATTATTATGGAAGCTTTAAAGTAGACTATGGCGACAGTAAACAAGTTTTCCGTGAATGGCTTCACAATGCATTGCATTGTCCTGAAATTGCTACACTTTTCCGTTTGACATCCATCCATCTTTCGAGGGGGGAGCCAATCGAGCCAGTAGCTGGGAGCCGGGAAATCAACTTGCCACTGGCAGTGGCACAACTACTCGTGTCGCCGTCTCAATTTGCATAAAGCGAGCAACAAGCTGCAGTAACTTCGACAGCAGCTGGTAACAAAGCCA